CCCGCGTTGGCCATGAGAGGGGCATCAATAGGCAATGAGGTGGCGGCAGAGCTGGGCCTTCCTGGCCCGGATAAGCTAACCCTCCCCTCTCCCACCCCCTTGCAGGTGGAACGCTTCATGTTCGAGGGCGTTGAGATCCCCCTTGTGCCGTCCTGTGCCGTGTTTATCACCATGAATCCGGGATATGCTGGCCGCACTGAGCTGCCTGACAATCTGAAGGCAAGTTCCAGCCCATGGCGGCCCAGGAGGTGCTGAAGCCCTGGCCGGGCTCAGATAATCTGAATCACTTACGCAGGGACACCCAGCTGCTTGGAATCAGGGCCCGCGATTCCCTGGGGGGGACCCTCCTGGCCAGGTGTCCTGAGGCCCAGTCCCAGCCATGGAGGAGAGGCCTGAGGCTTGTCCTCAGGGCATAGGAGAAGCAAGGGCTGCCTGTGGGAGGACAAGGACATCCGTTGAGAGCTGTTCAGGCTGGGCCAGCAGGAGAGATGGAAGATGGGAGCCAAGAGGAGCCGTCTCCTGGGGGCTACGTGGGGGCAGGCTCAGATCGGCACCAGGACCTGTGTCTGATGGCCAGAGCTGTCCAGCCACAGTGGACTGTGAGCTCAGCTATGGCAGGTGTGGTGCAGAGGGAATCTCATGGGGGCCGAGCCAGGCGGAGCTGCCTCCTGCTGATGGGCTAGTCTAGGGAGTGAGCAGTGCCCTGCAGTGCGGTCTTTCTCCGGTTCCCATGCTCATCCCGTGTCCCAGGCACTCTTCCGGCCTGTGGCCATGATGGTTCCGGATTATGCCATGATTGCCGAGATCTCCCTCTACTCCTTTGGCTTCAACGAAGCCAGCGTGCTAGCTAAGAAGATCACAACCACCTTCAAGCTGTCCTCTGAGCAGCTCAGCTCCCAGGTGAGGCCCTGCCCCGCCAGTGTCCATAGTCTGAGAGCTACCGCCTGCCCAGCCTCCAGAGCGGTCCTGAATTCACCTCTTGTTGAACACTTGCTGGTGGCCAGTCTCTGTGCTAGTTGCTGTGTGGGCTTAATCTTGCCGACTCTCCCAGCAACCCTATGAGGTAGGAGCCACATCTGTTTCTTAGCTGAGGACCCTGAGGTCCCAAGCAGCTGAGGGCCTACCCAGGCTCACAAAGTGCATAGGAGAGCTGGAGGAGCAGCCAGAGACAGATGCTACCCAGTAGTTCAGGTACAAGGGAGGGCTGATTGTTGGGCGCCAGACCCAAGGCTGGGGAGTCAGTGCACCTGGGTCTCATGGGGACCTGGCAGGAGAGCCAGGCCTCCCAAGCCCTCAGCACCATGGGCCTCCCACTCAGTGGGTCAAGCCAGTCCCAGGGGCACCTGGGCCCGGGCACTAGCTCTGTGGTGAGCGTTCCTGTCCAGCTCTGTGCTCAGGCAGGCTCCTGTATGTAGCTGCAGGGATGTGGGCTGCATTCTACCAACTCAGTTTCTCCTTAACAATTGTGGGAAATCACTGGCACCAACCTAATGGGCTTCTCTGGGTCACCCGCTGACCCAGGAACACTAGTAACCATAGCCAGGGGGGGAGTGATACCACCATTGGCCAGATGTAGCCCCCCAAACCCAAGGACCAGAGAGATGCACCTGCTACCAGCCCACCTCGGCACCCCTGAGGGCTGGCGCTCCCGTGTACCCTTCTTTCTAATCATCCGTTTGGAACCCTCCCTCACCCAGTTAGAGCAACTACCCCACATGGTTCTCGAAACTCACTCGGCCCTTCCTAAGCGGGGATGATCCAGAGTGCTCCAAGTCCCAGTTGCTGGGCCCTGTGTTGGTCCACGGGTCAGGTCTGGATGTAGCTCTCATGAATGGCACCATGAGCAGAATGATGAATTCAGCTATTTCCAGCACACCCACCTTACAATGGAGAGAAACGGAACAGTGGGAAAAGTCAGAGGAGTGGCTGAAAGGTCGGGTCCGCAGAGGTGTTACAGGAGGGTGCTAGAAGAAGTCTGAAGGCCACTGAGGCCAACCTATTGCTTGCACAGATGGGGTAACTCTCATTCACGTTTCCAACACTTTAGTGCCTCCCTGCCCTCAGCTGTGCTGGGACTTCAGGGGGTTAGCAGTATAACCAAGGCAGAGTCCAGCAGGGAGTACAGTAGGTCACAAGTGCAGGGAGAGAGTCAACAGGGGTCAGGGAAGCCCAAAAGAGGGGCCCCCAGATCACAGAGGGCCAGCATGTCAGCTGGTTCATGGCATAACAGCTCTGAGCTGGGCCACGAGGCCTGGCCAGCTAGCATTTGGAGAGAGTGTTCCAGGCAGAAGCCCCGAGGGGGACTGCCCACACCCCCATCACTATGACAGGATCACTATGACTTCGGGATGAGAGCTGTGAAGACTGTGATCTCAGCTGCTGGGAACCTCAAGCGAGAAAACCCCAGCATGAATGAGGTGGGCTCCGTCCGGCAGGGTTCCTGAGAAGCAGGGCTCTGGGAGACTTGGAGTGACCGGAGGGGCACCTGCCCTGATGGCTCTGCCGATGGCACCTGCTGCAGGAGCTGATCTGCCTCCGGGCCATCCGGGATGTGAACGTGCCCAAGTTCCTGCAGGAGGACCTCAAGCTCTTCTCTGGGATCGTGTCCGACCTGTTCCCCACCATCAAGGAGGAAGAGACGGACTATGGCATCCTGGACAAGGCCATCCGCAAGGCTTGTGAGAAGCGTAACCTCAAAGATGTGGAGGGTAAGCGGCAGGCCCCCGACTCCGCACAGTCCCGCAGGTGTCTAAGGAGGGGCTGGGGCCACCCTGGAATCCAGGGCAGGGGACAGACACGGGGCTGTCCAGTCCCCCGTCCCTCATACCCAGCTAAATTGCAGCTGGCTGAGACTCTCAGTTGAGCAATCCAGGGCTGGGGCAGGTGCCTCCTGCCTGTCTCCACTGGAAGCTGCAGGTGCTGGGGGACCTCCCACAGGAAGAGCAGTTGCAGCCCTTAGTCCCCTCTTGGGCCTCGCTTCATCAGGTGCCGGTTCCTCATTGTGGGAGACCCTCCTCCGCTGCCTCACCTGCTTGGGTAGGGGTGAGCTCCAGTGCTGTGTTCTGGGCAGCCTCACCCCACCTCACATGACCACCACTCCTCTCTCCTGAAGCCACTTGGATTCCATCCCAATTATGGGACTTGCCTGAGCTTCTTGTGGGGTGACAACCCTGAGGTCAGTGCACTAAGGTGCACTGGGGCCTTTTCTGACCTGGCTTGTTGGAAAGACTACCAAGTGGCTGGAAGGGATCTGGAACACTGCCTTCAAATAGACCTCTGACTCCAACCCTTTTCCCAGTCTAGAGTGAGAGCCTCAGCCCAGCCACTCTAAGTCCTTGTGTCTCCCCCCCACCATTCTCGGCCTAGCTGCCCTAGCTGGTCTTTCACTGGAGGGAGGGAATGGTCTCCCAGGAAGACATGCCCAGCCACCTCCCTACACAGCACCTTCGTCCAGGGCCTGAGCAGTTGGTCTGCTCACATGGCCCTGCAAACCCTCCCTCCCAAGTGCCCTCCACAGCTCTTTTTTTTTTTTTCTGGAGAGGTTTATGCTACAGGGCACGTGCGCTCACCAGACAGACAGAGAAAGACATAGAGACAGAAAGCGAGAAATCACCCCCCAGGGGGGATGGTCACACCGCAATCCCTTCTCCTCCATTCTCCTCTCGGGATCTTGGGCACGCACGCACACGCGCCTGGCGTGAGTTTTAAGCCACCGGGTCCTGGACGCGAACCACGGTTGACTACGTGGGAGTCCAGCAACATAGCCATTACGCTACTGCGGGTTCCCCCCTCCACAGCTCTTCGGCTCTGTGTGCCACTTTAAGGCTTCCTTCTCTGGCCACCTCCTGCACCCCAAATCCCAGCAGGCTTGATGCTGCCAACTCTTCTCTCCCTCACAGCCTTGGGCCATATTTGCTATCACTGGGGCACTGGACCCTACCCCTTTGGCAGGAACCCCTTGACCTGCAGTGCCGTAGCGGCCACCACCCTCTTGGGCCAAACGTGAGCCTGGCCTTCTGCCTACAGCTGACAGCTGTTCCTAGCACGCCTCCCTGGCTGTAGGACTTTGTTCTCAGGATGTTACCTCGAACTGGCCAGCACTTTCTTGGTGCTCTCAGCAGGTTAGGCAATAGCTCTGGGGCTCAAGTTGACTGAGGGCCTGTGATGGCCAGCAGTTGGCCAGCGGCCGGAGGATGCTAGAGAATGCTAGTCATCCCAGGAATAATGTGGGCATCTCAAGTTCCCACTCCGCGCCAGGCCATCACCTGCCCCTACCTACGAGAGGCCCAGATAAGGAAACAGGCTTAGGGAGAGAAGTGACTCACCAAAGGTCATACAAGCTAGCAGTGCAGCCAGGGCTCCAACCACACTCCGGCCCTGGCACCCCTGCCCTGTCTCCCAGGCTTCCTGACCAAGTGTATCCAGCTCTACGAGACCACAGTGGTGCGGCATGGCCTCATGCTGGTCGGGCCCACGGGCTCCGGCAAGAGCGACGTAAGTGGAGCTAAGCCAGGCAGCCTGGTGCCCAGACGTGGGCCCGAGGGCTGGTGTGGCCTCAACAGGGGTGCGGCCCCATTGGACCTCCTTGGCCTCTGGAATACCCTTCCCACCCCCCGTGGTTCCCAGCCCCCTGCAGCCTGCTCTCTGGGGAGCCAGGAGGCTCGCTCTCACTCGGCCCTTCTCTAGTGTTACAGAGTGCTGGCTGCCGCCATGACGGCCCTGAAAGGGCAGCCCTCTATTAGCGGTGGCGTGTATGAGGCCGTCAAATACTACGTGCTCAATCCCAAGTCCATCACAATGGGCCAGCTCTATGGGGAGTTCGACCTGCTCACCCATGAGTGGTGAGTGGCCCTGGCCCCTCTAGTGGCTGCCCTGCCCCTAGACCTCTGGGGGCTACAGGCCAAAGTCTCCCCATCCCTCCATCAACCCAGGGGAAGGTTGGAAACGCAGGCCCTTCTGCCCAAAACCGGGGGTTCTATCCACCCTCTCTGGTTCTATCCACTTTCTCCCTGAGAGACGCCCCCACACACCAGGGGGACCTTGGCTCCCTCATCTGTAAAGTAGGGACAATAATGGCACCAATATTACAGTAAGGCAAAATGAGCTTAATGGGCCAATCGGTGGCGTTGTGACTAAAGTGACTGGATCCCACATGGCCGACTCTGCGGTTCGAGGCCTGTACTCGGGTGCTTAAAACACATGTCTAAAATCCCGAGAGGAGAATGGAGAAGAAAGGATTGTACCATGGCCATGCCCCCTGGGGTGTGCTTTCTCACTTTCCCTTTCTCTATATATATCTCTGTCTCTCTCTGGAGAGTCCATGCACCCTCTAGCAACAACAACAACAACAACAAAACAAAAACTTACCACACAAGGCATGCCCAGAAGTGTCTGGCACACAGCAGACACTAGAACACTAGACAAGTGGCCAGTGTCGTTGCCCTGAGCGAGGCCGGCGGTCCCTCTCGGTCTGCTCCCAGGCGAAGGCTGTATCTAGGGGAAGGACATCAGGCTGAGAGAAAAGGGCATCTGCATGGAGCTGCCTCCTGCACCAGCATCTGTAGGTCTTTTCTCTGGGGCGCTTCTTTCTCCAAAGGGGTCTCCAGTCTGCTGCCGGCACCTGCTTGGCTTCAGTGCTCTGGGAGCTCAGTGGGGGCTGGCCTGGGGAGGGAGAGTCATCTCTGCCAGTGTGGACCAGGACTGCTTCCCCATTTCTCCACACCCACACCCACACCCACACCCACACCCATCCTGGGCTCTTCTGTGGATAGTTCAGGGGGTGTAGGGGGTCAGTCCAGGCAAATGTCCCCTGTTAAAGAAGAAACTATTCAAGATACTTTTAAAAGCATGATGAGGAAGACTTTACCCAGGACCACCGCTATGTGTTAGAGGCCCCTGGAACAGGGACTCGTGGTGGAGGAGAGAGATCAGGTTTGCCTCCAAACACAGCGTAGGCCTGCAGGGTTTACAGCCTAGGAGCGGGCTGGGGGCAGCAGGTGGAACAGTGCTTCGAGAAACAGGAAGGGAGACCCTGGCTAACCAGCCTAGTGTGACTAGCTGAAGGTAGGTCGAGTGATGGGACAGTGCCTGGAGTGGTGGAGGGCTCTTGTAATATCTATCTCTGTTTTGTCATTGCTATCAGGAATACCTAAGACTGGGTATGCACGCACGCACGCACACACACACACACACACACACATACACACACACGCTAGAGGGCATGTGTGCTTGCCAGAGAGAGGAGAAAGCCACCACCACCGTCATGGGAAACAATCCCTTCTCTATCTATCCCTCCTTTGGGGATTTTGGGCACTCATAAATACATGCCTGGTGTGTTTCTCAAGCCAGCAATTCCAAGACTCGAACTACCAGTTCCAGGACTTGAATCATGCAGTTGGTCATGTGGGAACCAGCTGCTTTAACCACCAGGCCATGCAGCCAGCCCTGTCAGGATTTGAAATATCCTGTCTGGAGTTTTGCAAGCTGCCAAAGATGGGCTTTGAACCATGCTGTCGGCTATGTGGAATCTGGCTCCCTTTACCACTAGGTCACAGGGCTGACCCCCTAGTGTAGTTTTGCTTTTTTTTTTTTTTTTAATTTTTTTTTTTTTTTTTAATTTGCCCAAAGGGGGACAAAGTGAGAGGAGGGAGGGGAGAGTGAGAAAACAAGCTGCCAGGTCTGGGACTTGAACCGTGGTCAGCCATGTGGGAGTACAACGCCCTTAACCACCAGGCCATCTGCTGCCCCCCCCTTCCAGTATAGTTTTTAAGTGAACAAAGATACTGAACGGGAAAAAAGAGCCAGATAGTGCCAGCCCAGCGACCGGGTTTCCCTGGCAGCCGTCTGTGCTTGCCACTTTGCCTGCTGGTGCCAACAGCCCTCTCTCCTCCCTGGTGGCCACAGGACAGATGGGATTTTCTCGTCCCTCATCCGGGCGGGATCCATCGCCTCAGATACCAGCAAGAAGTGGTACATGTTCGACGGGCCGGTGGACGCCGTCTGGATCGAGAACATGAACACGGTGCTGGACGACAACAAGAAGCTATGCCTCAGCTCCGGGGAGATCATCAAGCTCACAGAGGTGCACTCACATGTCCACCCAAGCCACTGCCCTCTGAGGCTGGGCAGGGCGAGCCCTGGCCCCCACTCTTCCCTCACAGGGCTGTAGCTGAGTCCGAGGCTGTCACTGCCGTCCAGCTAGGAGCCTGACAGCTATCTCTCCCCAGCCCTGAGCTCCCACACTTTGGTATGCCCTGCACAGCTGCTCGGCATGCATCTTCCGTGGCACTGAGCCAGGGCCAGGACAGCCACTCCTCTACTGCCCAGCCGGTGCTGCCTCCGGCCTCCCACACCTGCCTGCCTGCCTGCCTGCTTGCCTTCCTTCCTTCCTGCCTTCCTGCCTTCCTTCCTTCCTTCCTGCCTTCCTTCCTTCTTTATATTTGCTATAGGGCACATGCTCTTGCCAGAGAAAGAGAAAGTGAGAAGGCACCCACCCCAGGGAAGATAGCCATGCCATGATTCCTTCTTCTCCATTCTCACTTTGGGATTTGAGGCACAGATGCACATATGCCTGGCATGTTTTGCCAGCTGCTGGGTCTGGGACTTGAACCATGAGCTTGGCCATGTGGAATCTAGTGCCTTAACCAGCACACCACCTGGCTGGCCCCTCCTAGGCCCACTTTCAGATGCCCACCTGATCCTGGTACCATACCAGGGTCCAGGGGGTGCTGGTGTAAACCTGGCCCAGGCCCCAACCTGGCGTATGACATGCAGATTTCAGAAGGAGCAGGACAAGCAGCCAGTGCACGGTCTCTACACTGCACTGAACTGAGTTCTAGAGTGTTTCTGAGTCAGTGTGGACCTGTGTGTCTATGTACATCAGGGGCTTGGGCAGAGCACATAGCCCTGTCAGATTTCCCGAGGCCCCCAGGGACCCCAAAACACTCTGACCTTAGGCTGGCCAGCCATTCCCAGGAAGGAGGGCCACACTATCAGTCAAGGGCCCAGAGGTTCTTACAGCCCCAACCCCTCCCCATGGCCCCTCAGCCCTTCCTCTGGCCCTGGGGGTTGACAGCCAGCCCCCTCACGTGGTCCATCTTGGCACCAGGCGATGACCATGATGTTCGAGGTGCAGGACCTGGCGGTGGCGTCCCCAGCCACAGTGTCCCGCTGTGGGATGGTGTACCTGGAGCCCAGCATCCTGGGGCTCATACCTTTCGTCGAGTGCTGGCTGCAGAGGCTGCCTCCCTTGCTGAAGCACTACGAGGAGCATTTCAAGGCCCTCTTTGTCAGCTTCCTGGAGGTGAACAAGACACGGGGATACCCAGCCCGGGCAGGGTGGCGGGGCCTGTGGCCAGTAGCCACAAGAGCCAGGTTCTCGCTCCCTGCAGGAATCCATCGCCTTCGTTCGGTCCTCAGTGAAGGAGGTGATCGCCTCGACCAACAGCAACCTGACCATGAGCCTCCTCAAGCTGCTCGACTGCTTCTTCAAGCCCTTCACGCCCAAAGAGGTATGGCGGGGTGGTGGGCAGGACGCCTGGTCCCCCCCGCCCCTGCCTCGCCTTGCCTGGGCCACCTGGGGCCCTAAATCCCAAGTCCAGTTTCCTGACAGAGAGGGTTAGATGGGCTCAGTGTGGGTCATGGGGCTACCCCATTCAATGTATGACAGAGAAACAGCCTGGCAGAAACCGAGACGCCCCACTCCACTCCCTCAGGCCGTCAAGGCTGTTCTGATCTTAGCCTGAGGCTGCTCCTCTGTCCTCAGGGCCTCAAGAATATACCCCCCGAAAAGCTGAGTCGCGTCCCAGAGCTGATCGAGCCCTGGTTCATCTTCTCCCTGGTCTGGAGCGTGGGCGTTACCGGGGACAGCAACAGCCGCATCGGCTTCAGCCATTGGCTGAGGACGAAGATGATAAGGGAAAGGGTGAGCATCAGCCCCAGGCCCAGAACCCCAGGGGTTAGTTCCCATGGGCCTCACAGACTGCTTTTCCTCCTGGCGCCGGGCAGGTGACGCTGCACTTCCCAGATGAGGGGCTGGTGTTCGATTACAGGCTGGAGGATGCAGGCATCAGCAGCACCAACGATGAGGAGGAGGACGATGAGGAGGGCAAGCAGGTGGCCACAGGCCCAGCCCGGGGACCAGGCGGGGGACCCCACTGGGCAGTGGCCATTTTCCCTGGTCAGTGATGACCACAGAGAGGCAGCTGTGTTGACGGCCACCAGGGCTGAGTCTGGGGGTCCTTTGCAGCACCTCATGAATCCCCACAGCCTCACAGACCCCTGCGTTTTCAAAACAAGGGGACAGAGGCTCAGTGCGGTCACTGTTGGCTGGTCAGCAGTAGGACTGGACGTGGCCGGGGCCTGGGGAGTGTCAGAGTACTTCCTACCAGTTACCATGCTGCCCCTCTGTGTCCACGCTGAGCCAGGGCTGTCCGCCTCAGTCCCTTGCCTCGGGCCAGGAGGCTAAGGCCTGCCTCAGTGTCCCTGTTCCCACTGTCAGCCAGTGAGGGCCCCCTGACCACAGTTCAGAAGGTGACAGAGGCGTCTGTAGAGACCTGCAGGTCACTGTGCCAGGACCCGAGGGGCTTACCGGTTACAGTTGGGTCTAATGATCGGGATGTCCCCAGTAGGGGACTAGTTTGGCCATAGTGAGCCCCCATTGAGGGAGGTCTGTGGGCTGGGTCATGGTCGTGCAGGAAGGAGTTAATGAGGCAGGACTGGTGGGAGCAACTGGTCAGGTGGCCGGCACCCAAGCTGGCCTCATGGTTCTGCCCCTACATTCGTTTGTAGCCTGAAGCGAGAAAGCAGACACTGGTGCATTCTGGGTTGGCCAGCTCTCAGAGGCTCTCCTTCATGCAGAATCCCACTCGGGGGAAGGGCAGTCCCTAGGGAGCCCCCACTCAAGGCGGCTGTGGGCAGGGACAGCTGAAAGCTGAGTGCTCTCCTGAGCAGCGGCGCTCAGGGAGGTGGCTTATGCTTAGTCAGTGGTCCGTGCAGAGCCAGGGCCCAGGACTCCCTGTGCCAGCCAGAAACAGCCCCTCACCTGACCTCCCTGCCAATGTCCAACACAGCAGTCCTTGCTCTCCCGCTGCACTTGGTGCAAGGCTACAACCAGGAGTGGGTGGGAGGGGCTTCCAGCCCAGCCCTGAGCCACCTGTGGTTCCAGGTGGCCTGGGTGAAGTGGATGGACTCCTCGGCTTCGTTCACCATGGTGCCTGACACCAGCTACTGCAACATCATCGTGCCCACCATGGACACCGTGCAGATGTCCTGCCTGTTGGGCATGCTGCTCTCCAACCACAAACCTGTGAGTGCCCTGCTATGTCCACCCCTAGGCCAGCATGGGGGCGGCCGGCCTTCCCCGCCTCTGTGCGCTGGGTCCTGCCCACGTGCACCTCGCCCACACAACCCCTACTCTCCCAGGTGCTGTGCATTGGGCCGACGGGCACAGGGAAGACACTCACCATCTCCGATAAGCTCCTTAAGAACCTGCCGCTGGAGTACATCAGCCACTTCCTCACTTTCTCAGCCCGCACCTCAGCCAACCAGACCCAGGACCTCATAGACAGCAAGTTGGACAAGAGGCAGGGTCCCCTTGCTCCTTCACTAGCCTGTGCCCCCCACCTCAGCCTATCTGTGCCGCCCCGTCTGGCCAGCTTATGCTCCTGGATTTGCCAGAAACCTCCCAGGGGAGGCCAAGCTCCCTGGGTGGCCTTGAGTCCCCTTGCAGCCTGCTCCAGCGCCTTCCCTCCCTCCAGAGTGCCCCAGGCTGGGCCCTCGGGCAGGCTGTGGGTCTGTCTTTGCCGTGCCTGATATCCATCTCCCTGAAGGAGCTCAGACTCAGGTCAGCCAGTCTGTGATGTCCCAGGATGCTCAGCATGGACCAAGACTGGCCGAGGGGCATAGCATTTGGAGGAGGTGGAAGTTTAGCGAGGGCCCCTCCCCCCCAAAGCAGAGCGATTACCGTGCCATGCCTGGTCCTCAGAGGATCTGGCACCCACAGTGCTGGGCTCACACAGCCCCTCTTCACAGGCGGAAGGGTGTGTTTGGGCCACCCCTGGGGCGAAACTTCATCTTCTTCATCGATGACCTGAACATGCCGGCCCTGGAGACTTACGGAGCCCAGCCACCCATCGAGCTGTTGCGCCAGTGGATGGACCACGGCGGCTGGTATGACCGCAAGATCATCGGTACGTGTGGCCAGCCTGGGCCTGCGGGGTGTGGGCTGGAAGTGCTGGGCAGCAGCAGCAGGCATGGGGCTGAGGGCCCACAAGGCTTTTAGGACCCATGAATGTGTTTTAATTTCTTGGGCTAGTTGGTGGCATGGTGGTTAAGGTGCCTGGATCCCACATGGACAGTTGCCCGGTTCAAGGCTCAAATATGCCAGCTTGAAAAACACGCTGAGCACGTGTGCATGCTTGTCCAAAATCCTGAACGAAGGAAGAGACGGAGAAGCAGGGACCGTGCCCATGCCCTGGGAGGGTTGCTTTCTTGCTGGCCCTCTCTCTCCTTCTGTTTCCAGACAAGGCACGTGCACCCTTTAGCAAAACCTTTTAAAACAGATAAATATTTTAATTTTTCTTAAAATTAGGGGGAAATAAACTCTCAGGTCAAAAAAAATCTTAATGTGTAATGTTTATGTATCAGGTCGTCAGAAAAGTCATGACATATTTTTGCATAGAAAAACAAAGGTGGTGGTTAAGGTGCCTGGATCCCACATGGACAGTTGCCCGGTTCAAGGCTCAAATATGCCAGCTTGAAAAACACGCTGAGCACGTGTGCATGCTTGTCCAAAATCCTGAACGAAGGAAGAGACGGAGAAGCAGGGACCGTGCCCATGCCCTGGGAGGGTTGCTTTCTTGCTGGCCCTCTCTCTCCTTCTGTTTCCAGACAAGGCACGTGCACCCTTTAGCAAAACCTTTTAAAACAGATAAATATTTTAATTTTTCTTAAAATTAGGGGGAAATAAACTCTCAGGTCAAAAAAAATCTTAATGTGTAATGTTTATGTATCAGGTCGTCAGAAAAGTCATGACATATTTTTGCATAGAAAAACAAAGGAAAAAATGCATCATGACTTTCCTGACAACCCTTTATTTGTCTTTATACCAATACTGTTATAAGTTACAATTTTTAATGCCTTTTTTTAATGGAGAAGGGGTCCAAGAGACTCCTAAATGCAGTCCCGGGCAGGGCCTTCCTGACTTCTCACCCCTCTTCCAGGAGCCTTCAAGAAGCTGGTGGATATCAACTTTGTCTGTGCCATGGGCCCCCCTGGAGGGGGCAGGAACCCCATTACCCCGAGGCTGACACGTCACTTCAACTACCTATCCTTCACCGAGATGGACGAGATCAGTAAGAAGCGCATCTTCTCCACCATCCTGGGCAGCTGGACAGGTGAGTGTCGGGTGGGGCAGGAGAGGCCATGGGTCAAGGCAGACGTTCAGGCCAGGCGTGCCACACCCAGGAGAGCTAGGCAGCCACCGGAAACCGTCCTGGCTGCAGCACCCGTTACTCAGCTCCGTTACCTTCGGCAAGCTCACGAGCCTCCCTGTGCCCCAGTTCCTTCACCTGTAAATGGCTGACAGTATGCACACCTACAACAGCTAGTCGTCAAGTCAGAGGGTTCCAGAATCACACAGAACGTCTAGCATGAAGGCCGGCACACGGATCACTGAGCACACGAGAGGTGCACGTGTGCTCGTCTGCCCACACCCACATGTGCACACTCTGTGTTATACTTGCCCAGGAATTCTGGTGGAAAGATGTTAGTTTCGTAAGTCAGGAAAAGCCACCGAGAGAGAATAGACAGTGGCCCTTAGCTTCCAGGGGACTGAGGACAAGTGTGCCCCAGGATGCCCTTTCCCCCGCAGCCCACCTCCACCCGACACATACCCTCACCTTTGAACTCCCCTTGTCCCTGCACCAGTGGCGAGTAGCCTGGCCTGCTGCAGTGCTTGCCCACATGTTCAGCTTGGGCGGGGATGGTCAGGGCTGCTTCAGGAATGTCTCAGCTGGGCACAGCTGGCCACATGGGCAGCAAGAGGTCCATCTAACTCCCAGGCCTGTGTCTCTCCCTCGGCCCTCCAGATGGACTCCTTGGAGAAAAAAGTTACCGGGAGCCTGTGCGTAAGTGCAGTGGTGGGCAGGGACTGGGAGGATCTGTGTGGGAAGGGGCTGCTGGTCCCTAGTGGGCTGCCAAGGGGGGACCAAAGGTCACAGTGACCCACCGTCAGGCATGTGGGGACCTCGGGCTGCTGCTGCCTTCACCGGCTCGCCTGCCCATTCCAGTAGCTCGTCCATCCTCAGGGCCCAGAACAGTACCAGCCAAGAGTAGATATAAATCGAGTGCCTGGTGCACGAGTAGGCAGAGGAACCCCAGAACTGTCCCCACGTGAAGAACCAGAGTGCACAACAGAGCTGGCCCTCTCCAGGCAGCAGGGCGATCAGGAGAACTGGGGGTGACGCGTGGCTGGGTTCCCTTGACAGTTTTGCTTTCCAGCAAAAAATGAGGTAATTTTTACAGGACAAGCGTATGCGTGATGCTAGTGAAGATGTAGGCTAGAGGGTGAAGCAGCTCCCCGGGGGGACAGTGAGCCCCAAAGACCAGGCCCCTCACACCCAGCCTATGTGCACATGTGACCCCCTCATCCCCCACCACACGTGGCTCAGCGGTGGCATGTTTCTGGTCTGAGGCACAGCCTTGCCCAGCACCGACCCACTAGTGCCCAATGCCACGAGCGTGTCTAGGGGCCCTGACAGACAGAGATATTAAAGGAGGCACAGAGCAGATTCTGCTCCCTGACCTAGGGGCACTGGGAGGCGGCGTACAGATGGGGCTAAGGGTGCATGGGGTCTGAGCCTGCTGGCTGGGAAGGGGCATGTGGGGGGGGCACCTCACAAGCAAAGGGAGGGCAGGGTCTGCAGAGGCTGCACAGGGAGCTCCTGCCCATGTGCCCCAGGCCTCTCCTGTCCCCCCAGCTGGGGCCCCCAACATTGCCCCCTTCACGGAGCCCCTCGTGGAAGCCACCATCATGGTGTATGCCACCATCACCTCTCAGCTGCTGCCCACTCCGGCCAAGTCCCACTACACCTTCAACCTGCGGGACCTCTCTAAGGTCTTCCAGGGCATGCTCATGGCCGACCCCGCCAAGGTCGAGGTGAGGCTGACACGCCCACTGCCCTTGCCCTTGCTCTCGGCCCCACACCAGGCCAGGCCCCCAAGGGCCCAGTCTCGGTGCAGCCGAGCCTTACCCTGCAATGGCAGCAGTGAAGAGGTCACACCGGTGCGGGAGCCAGGGCAACATAGAGAGAGGAGGCCCTGTGTGTGCAAAGACGTGGAGAGTAGTGAGCAGGGCACTTCCGGGGCAGGACCGGGGACAAGGCCTGGGGTGTCATTTGCACTGGGTGGGGATGGGGCCCGACTCTGAGGGTTTGGGGGAGCCCTGGGGCGGCAGGGGACAGATGCACTTTGGAACAGGCCTGTTGGGGCCTTGTGCACAGGCCCAGGCCTGGAGAGAGGGGTGAAAAATGGCCCTGGCTCTGCCAAGCTAAAGGGGGATGGGGGAGAGAGGGAGGGCTTCCTGAGGGCAGTCTGGACCCCCAGGCACAGACAGGGGAGCTGTGATGAAAACTCGGCAGAGACAGAGATGGAGAGAGGAAGAGAGGAAGGACAGCAGGGCCAAGTCAGCAGGGCTTGGTGAGGGGTCAGAGGCGGGGCGTATTGTGGGTGTAAGGAGAACCTGTCACCCCTCCCTGGCTTGAGGTTCGGGGAGCCAGGGGGGCTAAGAGAGGGGGGAAGATGACTTGGAGGTGCTGGTGACCAGCTGGTGTAGTGCTCCGTCCTCAGGGCTCAACGCCCTCTCACATGGCCGTGGCCGGTTGTGGTGGGAACCGGGCCCAGGAGCAGTGGCTCCTCCACGTCTCCCACCCCTGGGGCTTCCCAAGATGGCTGCTGGCCCCTGGCCGGGGGACAGGCACTGATGCTGGGGCGGCCACAGGACAAGGTGCAGCTGCTGCGACTGTGGTACCACGAGAACTGCCGCGTGTTCCGAGACCGGCTGGTGAACGAGGAGGACCGCGGCTGGTTCGACCAGCTCCTCCAGAGCTGCATGGAGCAGTGGGAGGTGGCCTTCGACAAGGTCTGCCCCTTCCAGCCCATTCTTTATGGGGACTTCATGTCACCAGGCGCAGACGTCAAGTCCTACGAGCTCATCACCAACGAGAAGAAGGTGAGAGGACCCTGCTGCCCTCAGCAATGACCCCCGACAGGCCTCCGTGCTGTGAGCAGAGGGCCAGGACGCTAGATTAGGGCCCGCTCGGGACAGATGGGTGCAGCCGCAGGCCCGGCGCGGCCCCATGGAGAGCAAGCCTGTGGTTCGGCTGACACGAGCTGTTGAGCCATGGTGTGCCTGCCGTGGGTCCTGCCCCCACAAGGCCAACGCGTCCAGAGCTGCCTGGCTGACGTGGGCCTCCTTTTGCTCTCTCCCCACACACATCCCCTCCGGTTCTCAGGAGCTCCCACAGGGCCCCAGGGACAGTCAGGCTAGGCCCATGGAGAGCAGCTGGGCTCTCCGAACCCATGGCTGGAGTTGCCCCAAGAGTGGCGGCGGGGGAACTCCCTAGATGGGGCCTGTTGGCATTCCCAAGAAAGAACACTCACCACCAGGGTGACCGTGCACAGGGCCACGGCCAGTTGAGCCCCGTCCTACCAAGGCGTGTCAGCAAGGGTGCAGGTTGTGTGGGGTCTAAGGAATCTGGCTCCCAGCAGGGCTCACGTCCACGTGATCAGCGGCACAGGCGAACTTTGCTCCTTTAGAGTGACAACATGGCTGAGTTTATTCATGCCTGGGGATGTTCACAACCCCTGCTAGGGCTCCAGCCTGTGGGGGACACACGGCTGGCCAGCCCTCGGAGAGGTCCCTGTTCTCTGTTACTGAGGATAGAGGAAAAGCCAGGCGGGCAGGGAGACCCTCCTGAGGGGAGACCCACTGTCCCCGTGCCTGCCCCCGCTGCAGATGCTGCAGGTGATCGAGGAGTACATGGAGGACTACAACCAGATCAACACGGCCAAGCTGAAGCTGGTCCTCTTCATGGACGCCATGAGCCACATCTGCCGCATCAGCCGCACCCTGCGCCAAGCGCTGGGCAATGCACTCCTGCTGGGCGTGGGTGGCAGCGGCCGCAGCTCCCTCACACGGCTCGCCTCGCACATGTGAGGGCCCTGGGCACGTCGGACAGGGTGGTGGGGCCGACTGCCAGTTCGATTCATGCCTTTTGTAGTGGCAAGTGGAAGCCTGGGGAAGCCCGAGGCTGGCTGACCCACCTCCAGGTTCTGGACAGAATGGGAATGGGCCCCTGGCTCCAGGAGAGACAGCAGTGCCCTGCCATGCTGCAGGAAGGAAGCTGAGGTTACAAACACCCTGGAGGGCTTCCTGGGGGAGATGGCCATGGCCTGCCCGCAGAGCTGGGGGATGGGAGGGAAGGGTGTGCCAGGCTCAGGGAACAGCTTGAGCAAACATCTGGAGAGCCAGGCAGCCCTGGCTTCTTCAGGCCCAGCACTACCCCCCACACACAGGAAGACGGGGCCAGCACGCCAGGGGGTGAGCGCCCTGTCAGGGAGGACCCCATGTGTGAAGGTCTGTCTAGGTGGGAACAAGACTCCAGGTGCCTGGAGTGGGCATGGGTACCCCCTACAGCCCAGTGCCGGGCCCTGAGCCCTGGCGCACCTCCACGCGAACTCCTGCCTCCAGGGCCGAGTACGAGTGCTTCCAGATCGAGCTATCCAAGAACTACGGCATGTCTGAGTGGCGCGAGGATGTCAAGAAGGTTCTGCTCAAGGCAGGCCTACAGAACCTGCCCATCACCTTCCTGTTCTCAGACACCCAGGTGCCACCACAGGGCAGCGCGTGGGGCTCCGGGCGGGCTAATCACAACCCTGTCCTGGTGCGGCACCCTGGGAGGTGCCCAGTCCTTCCCAGGTCACATCAGTCGGGGCAGATCTCAGGAGGGACTGCTGGAACCAGGTGGGGCCGCAGATGTTGCATGTGGGGCAGGGACCCAACCACTCTCAGAGCTCAGGGGCATGGATTGTTACTCATGGCCAGGGTGGAGAAGGCCCCTGGGCTCATGGCCAATGGCTTGCCACCTCAAGGGCCTCAGGACTTGTGCCTAAAGTACTGGGAATTGGGACCAGAAGGTGGTGTGATGGTTAAGGTGCTGGACTCCCACATAGCCAAAGGTGGTTCAAGTCCCTGACCAGTGGCTTGAAACTCATACGGGGTGCGTGTGCGTACCCAGAGTCCCCAGAGAATGGAGGAGAAGGGATTGCAGTGTGGCCATCCCCCTGGGGAATGATTTCTCACTTTCTATCTCTCTGGTGAGTGCATGTGCCCTATAGCAAAACTTTAAATCTCTCTCAAAAAAAAAAAAAAAAGACCAAAGTGCCAGGATGGAGCCCAACTCGCAGGGGCCTTCGTGGAGTTCAGCTTGCACACCCTTCGTGCCCCACCCCCAGATCAAGAATGAGTCCTTCCTGGAGGACATCAACAACGTGCTGAACTCGGGCGACATTCCCAACCTGTACACGGCAGACGAGCAGGACCAGATCGTGAACACCATGCGGCCCTCCATCCAGGAGCAGGGCCTGCAGCCCACCAAGGCCAACCTCGTGGCCGCCTACACGGGGCGCGTGCGCAGCAACATCCACATGGTGCTGTGCATGAGGTGTGGCAACCGTGGCCAGGCCGCGCAGGGGCACTGAGGCAGGACAGGGCAGGGCGGGCCCCGGGGTGCAGGGGGTGTGGCCATCATGCCAATGGATCCAGAGACCCCGGCTGTGTACTAACCACCCCCCACAAGCCATGAAGGGGCCTAGATCCGGGTTCCTGGGGCCTCGGACAGTATCTCTGCGTCTCACTCGCCTCCTGGCCCCTAGCCCCATTGGAGAGGTCTTCCGAGCTCGCCTGAGGCAGTTCCCCTCCCTGGTCAACTGTTGTACCATCGACTGGTTTAACGAGTGGCCAGCAGAGGCCCTGGAGTCTGTGGCCACCAGATTCTTGAATGAGATCCCTGAACTAGAAGCCTCCACTGAAGTCATTGAAGGGCTGGTAGGTGTCTCCGTGAGGAGCAAGTTCTTGGGGGGAACCACTGAGTTTGGGGCATGAGCTTAGGGCCACTGGGTCTCGGATGACCCACTGATATCAAGCCTTTGGTCAGCCAGCTTGGCCTGGCTAAGCCTCGGTTTTCCCATCAGTAGACTGGGAGTGCCCAGGCATCGTGGTGCCCTGAGGTGGTGGGCTTGCAGCTACACCGTTGCCATCTCCTTTACTCTCGGCTTCATGGCAGAGTTCTTCCATGAGCGTCTGACACAACTCGAGACCACAGATGGGGGCACTAGATTTGTCTGGCCCAATCCAAGAAAGCGGTGGTCACTGGAGACTGAGAGCTAGGTGAAAGCCCACATTCCCCTGCTCTGCTGGGCAAAGGCCTTGGGCCCTCTCGCCTCCTAGGTCCAACCTCCGAGGGTGGCACCACCACCTGAGGGCTCTTGGAGAGGAAGGTAATGGGAACTGAGACTAGGCACCAGGCCAAGCACTGGGGGATACCTAGGTCCATGTTCAAAGCCAACCCTGCCCTTGACTGCTGTGTGAGCTCAACCAAGACCGTGAGCCCTGGGTTTTTCATCTGTGCTGTAGGTGACCTCGACCAGGAGTGGTAAGGGTCAAAGGAGAAGAGCCAGTGTGGGAGGCATGGGGGTTCCTGCCACGGCTCCCTCCGTGGGACCAGGCTGTGGTGGCGTTGTGGGTGCCCAGTGCCTGGTGCCCAGTGCCTGTCTTGGCTGAGAGCCCTTCAAGGTGGCATCCGTGGCCTCCTCCCACAGATTCAAGTCTGCGTGGATATCCACCAGTCAGTGGCCAGCAAGTGTGTGGAGTACCTGGTGGAGCTGGCCCGCCACAACTATGTGACCCCCAAGAGCTACCTGGAGCTGCTCAACATTTTCTCCACCCTCATCGGGCAGAAGAAACTGGAGCTGAAAACGGCCAAGAACCGCATGAAGAGCGGCCTCGACAAGGTGGGCCTGAGCAAGGCTTCATGGGCAGCCGCCAGCTGCCCACAGTCCTGCCCACTTGCTCCTAGTCCTGGTGCAGCCCTCAGCACCTAAAGGGTGGCTCCCTCCCTTGTTAGTAGAACAAGGGCCTCAGACCAGCGGATGGCGTAATGGTTACGTTCCTGGACTCCCACATAGTTGACCATGGTTTGAGTCCTGGACCCAGTGGCTTAAAACTCGCATGAGTGCATGTACATGCATGCCCAAAATCCTGAGAGGAGCTGGGATTGTGGCCTCACTTTGTCTCTTTGTGGCTCTGTCTCTCCAGTGAGCACACATGCCCTATAGCAAAAATCTCTCAAAAAAAAAACAAAAACAACAACAACAACAAAAAAACACAACAAGGGTCAGGTCAAAGTTGGGTACTCCGCAGAGTTAGAAGACAGACCCACTTCTGAGTCCACTGGGTAATCCTGGGGCTGCTGAAGCCACTGGCCACATCCTCTCTCATGAACAAGGGTGGCTCAGCAGGAGCCTCCCTCCTGCATCCTCTAGGCCCTCTCTGTCTGTCCCCACTCACACCTGTGCTTTTCTCTGTGTCCCCCTACCCACTAGCTGTTGCGCACCTCTGAGGATGTGGCCAAGATGCAGGAGGAGCTGGAGATTATGCGCCCCCTGCTGGAGGAGGCTGCCAAGGACACCGTGCTCACCATGGAGCAGATCAAGGTGGTACTCCCCGCCCTTGCTCTGCACCTAGCCCTGTCTGAGGATGCTTGGGGTCTCTGTGCAGTCGCAAGGTCGCTAGCCATCTGGCCACCATGAGGTGTTTAGCTTTGTGCGCCCCTGTTTCCTCACACCGTAGTTACTCGTGCTGGATGTGCGGGGTCAGGACCTGTCCTACCCCAGGCACCGTGCTGGGAGGGGATCGGTGACAGCCAGGCAGATGGGTCCAAACAGCCCCAACCCAGGCTAGGTGGCAGGGCCGCTGCAGGCAAAGGGCCTGGCTTTGAGGCCCCTTCCTGACAGGAGACCTCACAGATCTAATGCTCATCACGCCAGCTCCCTGGGAGATGCAGTCAGGTGCTCTGCTCTGCAAAGTTGATGTATTGCAGGATTTTCCAGCAGATGAAAAGAAGCTGGAGGAGAAGTGGGAGGGGGACTTTCCTCCATCTTAGGTACCCCGTGGGCCTAGAGGGTCCTGCCCTGCGGGGTAGTTGTGCTTAGCCGTGGAAAGCCCTGAACCCCACACCAGGTCTGTGGTGAGCATGCAGGCTGTGAAAGTCCTGGCCAAGAGGGCCTTTGGAGAATAGGGCATCCCAACCCTCATTACCTCCACTGGGGGAAACTGAGGTGCAGAGGGGAGGGAGGGGAGGAGGAGGCACACCTGTACCTGCCCCTGGCCACAGCCGAGCTCCCCGTGGCTCCCACACCCAGGTGGATACAACCATTGCCGAGGAGACCCGGAATTCGGTGCAGGCAGAGGAGATCAAGGCCAACGAGAAGGCCAGGAAGGCCCAGGCTATCGCTGACGATGCCCAGAAGGATCTGGACGAGGCACTGCCAGCCCTGGACGCCGCCCTGGCCAGTCTGCGCAACCTCAACAAGAATGACGTGACCGAGGTGGGCAGCCAGGCTCCTCCTGGGGCTCCCCTGGTGTCCCTCTCTGGGGTCTGCTGGGTCCTGATCCACAGGCCCTCCCTCTGCACATCCTTGGGGCCATGTGCCAAGAAGAGAGGGCAGAGTTCGGGAATCCAGCTGCCAGCCCCCAGGGCCCAGGCAGGAGCATGGGCAGAGGCTGGCCTCGGAGGATCTCCGGGTGTGGCCTACGTGCCCTGGTGGTAGGGACAAGGCTTGGGGGGCCCTCCTGTCTGATAGTGTCCCTGCCCAGGAGTACCCACTCGATGATGGGCCTCAGTCTCCTTACCCCGTGACTCGGCCTGCAGGTCCGTGCCATGCAGCGGCCTCCCCCAGGCGTGAAGCTAGTCATAGAAGCTGTGTGTATCATGAAGGGCATCAAGCCCAAGAAGGTGCCTGGAGAGAAGCCCGGCTCCAAGGTGGACGACTACTGGGAGCCAGGCAAGGGGCTACTGCAGGACCCGGGCCGCTTCCTTGAGAGCCTCTTCAAGTTTGACAAGGTGAGCACACTGGCGGCCGGCTGAGCAGGACAGGCCTGGCAGGGCAGTCTATGTCCCGCAGCCTCGTCCGGTCTGGTCTGCTTGCTCCACCACCAGAGCATAGGGGCCTGTAGGTCACAGATGGCTGGAACCAACACCTGGCCCGAGGGCCTTTGGAGAGCAAGCATCCCTCACGTCCCTCTGTCGGGGACTCAGGTGCAGAGGGGAGGAAGTGGGGGAGGGATGCTGTCCTCGCCCCTGGCACAGCCGGGCCAGTGAAGGGGCAGGTGCTCCAACAGGACCTGGGATCCCGGCAGGCGCCTGTGCTCCATGGATGTCACCCACAGTCATGCTGTGGCTCTGCAGCCTACAGGTTCTCTTTTGTGCCTTTTCCTCCTGGGACAGCCATGGCCTTGACTGAGACTGTCACCACCTGCTCAGCTGTCACCTCTCTCCCTTGGCCTTGGCAACTAAGGTCCATCTTTCCTCTTTGGCTCGGTTTCTCTGTCTGTCTGTCCCAGGGGCTGTCAGTGTCCATGGGCACATGCTCTCCATGTCACGGTTAGGCCAGCCTACAACCCCTTTCAAGGGCCCCTCTCCAGCCCAGGGATTGGCTAGGGGGCAGCCACCTGTCCCTCAGGGCCGCTGCACACCTTGGCAGCACCTGGATTTCCCTCCCTCCCTCCCTTCTTCCTCCTCCTCCTCTCCTTCCTCCTCTTCCTCCTCTTCTTCCTCCTCTTCCATTAGACAGGAAACCAAGGACCCTGGATACGGCCCTGAGAGAAGCGCCCAAGTTGGACCCACTCACGGCCAGCGTTAGGCTCCCCGGAGCCCAAGTTCTGACTTTTGGGCATTCCTTAGCGATTCATCCCTGGGCCTGTCCTGACCTATAAGGCTGGATCTCCCGGGGTGGGACAAGGCCCCTAGGAGTGGGACCGTCCCCTTGAACATGAGCCTATGGCCATCAGAATACTCACACCTGCTGATGGGTTGCTTTCAGGAAGCAGTCCTTGTCTTAAATGAGTTCTTTTTTATTTATTTTTCTTAGAATTATTTTATTTAACTTTATTTATTTATTTTAATTTGACCTGAGAGGGACAGAGAGAGAGAGAGAGTGAGAAAGCAAGCTGCTGGGTCCAGGACTCGAATCGCAGTTGGCCATGTAGGAGTCCAGTGCCCTTAACCACCATGCCACCTGCCAGCCCCCTTACATGAGTTTTTACATGGGCCAGAGTATTACATTTCGAGGCTCAGGAGAAAGGACTCTCTAATCGTGGTGTCTGAAATCCTGAGAATGCAGAATTTCTTTTCTGGCTAGCCTTCCTGGGCTGTTTACTCCTTAAGAAGGACTTGGAGAGTGGGGGCACCAGGTGACATGGTGGTTAAGGTGCTGGACTCCCACATGGCCGACTGTGATTCGAGTCCTGGACCTTGTGGCTTGAAAATCACACCAGGCGCGTGTGCATGGGTGCCCAGAATCCCAGGAGGATGGAGAGAAGGGATTGCGGTGTGGCCATCCCCTGGGGGTGATTTTTCACTTCTCACTGTCCATAGTGCCCTTGGCAAAAACCTTAAAAAAAAAAAAAAGAAAAAAGAAAAAAGAAAGAAAGGGACATGGGGTCCAGAAGCAGGCTCAGGGTGTCTCAGAGCCCCCGCTCCCAGTCACCCTCGGGAAGCAGCCCGCTGAGGCCCATGGTCCCTGCCCCAGGACAACATCGGGGAGACGGTCATCAAAGCCATCCAGCCGTACATCGACAATGAAGAGTTCCAGCCGGCTGCCATCGCCAAGGTGTCCAAGGCCTGCACCTCCATCTGCCAGTGGGTGCGCGCCATGCACAAGTACCACTTCGTGGCCAAGGCCGTGGAGCCCAAGCGGGTGAGGGCCAGGAACATGGTGGGGGTGTGAGTAGGGGAACCGGCTCCCTTCCTCTGTGCTCACAAGCTGGCCCTACCCTCTGCCCACAGCAAGCTCTGCGGGAGGCCCAGGACGACCTGGACGTGACACAGAAGATCCTGGAGGAGGCGAAGCAGCGCCTACATGAGGTGGAGGACGGCATTGCCACCATGCAGGCCAGGTACCGGGAATGCATCGCCAAGAAGGAGGAGCTGGAGCTCAAGTGCGAGCAGTGCGAGCAGAGGCTGAGCCGTGCAGACAAGGTGCGCCTTCCTCAGGGACCCTCCAGGGTTGCACACGGGCAGGAAGGGCCCGGCACAGAGGCAGTCCTGCGGTGGGGGTCCCCACTCCCTCCTTGGCAATCTTGGGGGCCATAGGGGGCAGGACCAGCCCCAGCCCCCCAGCCCTGCCTCCCAGAGCCCAGCCCTGGCCTCTCTGCAGCTCATCAATGGGCTGTCGGACGAGAAGGTGCGCTGGCAGGAGACGGTGGAGAGCCTGGAGCACATGCTCGATAACATCTCCGGAGACGTGCTCGTGGCCGCCGGCTTCGTGGCCTACCTGGGCCCCTTCACGGTGAGCGCCCCCAGCTCTGCTTCTAACCAGACTCACCTCCCGACAGCCGTCCTCAAGGCCTCACTCCAGGAGAGGCAGCTGCAGCGGCTCCCTCCCGCCCTCAGTTGGCCAGCTCCTATCAGGACCCCTCCTGGAGCCAGGTGCCCAATGGCAGGGCCCAGAGCAGCCCTGGCCCATCCACAGGGCTGGCCTTCCGGCAGGAAAATCCAACAGCTCACACTTCACACGTGTCCACTGGGCCTTCTCCTAAACACGTGGTCTCTGTGTCCACTGCATTCTCACGGCCGCCCTTTGGGGGCGTTGTGCACATTGCCCCTGTTTCACAAGCCAGAGGCTGAGGTTTTCCCAGAACACAGGTGTCTGGCTCCACCTCTGACCTGACCTCTGTGCCACTGCAGGACGCCACAGTGTGGCAGGAGGTGGGGAGGGTGCTGCAGGCCTTGCGGTGGGGTGGCCCTGACTCTGTCATCTCCCCAGGGTCAGTACCGCACGGCGCTCCATGACCACTGGGTCAAGCAGCTCACAGCCCACAGTGTCCCGCACACCTCTGAGCCCTCGCTGATCGGGACGCTGGGGAACCCCGTGAAGATCCGCTCGTGGCAGGTGCCCACCCGGGGGCAGGAGTGGCCAGGCTGCACCTGTGGT